AGCGGCACTTGATTTTGAAAACGGTCACCATTTATGAAGCGGTCAATCGTCAAATTTCCAAACGCCACCTTCACCGAGAAAAACGACCGGTCTGTGTTAATTCCTTTGTGGTTACTTCAACTCTCTCTTTTGCATAGGCAGGAAACTCGGTAAATTGCTACATCGAGCTACGAAACCTTAAATTCCAATCGATTAAAAATTATTTCAATACTTTGTCATGAAAGACACTGAGTTCACCAACATCTGTTGGCCAGACATGAACTTCAAAAACTTTTCATATATTTCGCGTTGTTTTAGTTGTAAGCCCTAAGACATAAATTGTGTCGTCAATTTTAATCTCGTGATCACGTTTTTTCACTTCATTTAAGTCAACCTCTTTGACACGGTTGATCGTTTACCAAAGGTTGACATTATTTTCCTGTTTCACAAATAACCGCTTCAATTCCCGTCACGTGCCCGGCAGAACGATCTGTTGAGGTTGTATTTCCGAATTTCAATTGCTTTAAGTTTTTACAAAAGCTTACAAGCTTCTTGTTTCCATAGCAACATGGGTCGGCGGAGGATACATCAATGGTACAGCCGAGGTGCTCTATGATAAAAGCCTGGGACTAGTCTGGGCCCAGGCTCCTTGGTGCTATGCTATCAGCCTGGGGCTTGGTGAGTAACAAAACAGAGATTTTACCACGTGATTGAAACATTTCGCAAATTTCACCGACCAAATTCATTAAAGCTTATGTCGCCAGAAATTAATGCTTTCCGTGAAATTATTCCTAAGTTTCCGATCAGTTGTTACAGCTTTCATGGGCATGGGGATCTGGGGTGTGTATCTCAAAATTTTTTAAATTTAAGGACTCCGAAGTAATATTGATCTAAATCTAGGGATCCAAAGAAGGGCATTCAGAATCATCTATCCTGACCTTTCATATAGTGTAGCACTAGAAACAGTTGGCCTACCGAAACTTCATGAGAGGAGAGAAAAGATTTCAATCGATCTGTTTGACAAGATCGTCTGTAACCCCACCCACAATCTCCATAGCCTCCTCCCCCAAAGGAAGAGTCGTAAATATGCTTTGAGACGCAAAAGTGATTTCACTCTCCCCCTATGTAAAACCGAGCGTTTGAAGAACAGTTTTTTTTTTAGCCATGTCTATAAGATGTAGAAAATTTTTCTTATTCTCTCTTTTGTTATCATCAGTATTTGTAAATATCCCGTAATTCAGCCTATGGCTGCAATGGTGGTTAATAAAGTATCTCTCTATCTCTCTAGATAGGTGCAGCTCGTAGCTTAAAACTAATTCATTCTGTTTCGTTTCCCAATATGGTTCGAATTTTAAAACTATTCATATTTCGATCTTAAATGTTAAAACGGCGACCAGAAAAGATTTTTCTGGGATCTTCACTACTAGGTGAGCCGAAAAACGGGTCCAAGGGCTGGATATCTTACCTGATCAGGCTTGTCTTCAACTAAGGTCATTGCCAAGACACCGTAAACACCACCCTTCCTGTTCAGTTGTAGTGCAATCGGAACAAATGGCGATTATTTTTCTTATTTTTATCTTATAGGTGGACTTCTGTTTGCAAAAGTCATGCGAGAAAGAAAGTACGTTACCATGATTGACCCTGTTCAAGAGAAGTATGGTGCAATAATGGGTGGGTTGTTATACATACCCGCCCTGCTGGGAGAGATATTTTGGTCTGGCGCCATCTTGTCAGCTCTTGGTGCCACTGTGAGTGTTGTTATTGGCTTGGATCGCTTCACCTCCGTTATTGTGTCTTCGTGTATCGCCATTTTCTATACTCTGATTGGCGGACTTTACTCAGTGGTTTATACTGATGTGATTCAACTCTTCTGCATCTTTATCGGATTGGTAAGTACAGCCAGCAATTTCACTTTTTTTGATATTCGCATCACTCACACTATGATCAGGTTTTAGGCTGGTTTGCCCGCTGTAATCCAGGAAACAGATAGCTGGAAGGGTTCTCCACTAACAACCTGTAGTCTCTGTTACTTGTGATAAAGGTCTTGATATCTGTGAACATGTTAGGAAGACTGTCTGTTGAAACTCCTTCCACTTCACTTATTAGTGGCTCAGTATTCCTTTCGCCATGACACACAAAGCAGTGAGAAGCATATCTGAAGATTCTGGGAAATGGCTTGGAGAGATTCCTACTGATCAGATCGGAGTGTGGTTGGATTATGCGCTGTTACTGGTAAGCTTCTCGATCTCTGACCGTACGCAGTATGAGGAGGACAATATTTCGTGTTTTCTTTGAAGCACTGAGATCACGTTAACTGACGAGATCAATTGAGATTAGGGAAAAGACGTACTGGCCAAGAACATTTCTGCTCCGTAAACTTGAGAAGGAGTCTTTCGTTCGTGTTCCGTTATTGATAATCACATATGATTAATTTTTCGTTTTGTTCCATTTGCAATGCGCAGATATGGGGCGGCCTTCCATGGCAAATTTACTTTCAGCGCGCCTTGTCGTGCAAATCACCATCTACGTCTAGAACAGTCTCTTACACCGCTTCCATTGGATGTCTGCTTATGGCCATCCCTGCAGTGCTTATCGGGGCCATTGGTGCCTCGACAGGTAGAAGCATTATGAAAATCCCTACCATTCCCCCCTTCAATATTCCCATAATTGAAAGCAAATACAAAGCTGACCATGTTATCCAGAGCTTAGATGCGA